TGAACTTCATCATGAATTCACGAGTTTCACAGGGAAGCACGCCCCCGACACATGAACTTCATCAAGGATTCATGAGTTTCACGGGGAAGCACGCCCCCGACACATGAACTTCATTAAGGATTCGTGAGTTTCACGGGGAAGCACGATCCCGACACAAGAACTTCATCAAGAATTCATGAGTTTCATTGGGAAAAGCCTCCCTATCGCATTAATTTCATCATGAATTCTTTAGTTTCGCAGAGAGAAGCCTCTCCGACGCATGAACTTCACCAGAAATCAAGAACACCCTAAGTTTTCCTAATCTAAGTTCCCGCAATCAAAATCAGAGCTGGAGTTCGAAGATGGTTAGACCACCGCCAAACACCAACATGCGGCAGAGTCTGACCAAATTCCACATGCAAGGCGCATGGTGCGAAGGGAAAATGAAACCCTAAAAGTGACAATGAAAGAAAATGAGATCAGGAAGAAACTTACTGGGTTGAGGAGACAAAGGGAGTCTGGCGAAGATTCGGTGGCGGCGACGGCTGAAAGCTCTGCAAATCAAGAAACCACAAGAAACCAGAACAGAAAAAACAAGGGCAGAAATGTGGGTGGAAAAAGTGAAAGTTGCAAGTGATTAGCATCACATGTAGTTATACCCAAACCCTTGTGCGGAAAAGGTGACAACACACAGGAAGGCGTGTCACCAAAATGGCACATCATTACCCCTACTCCTAGGTCGTCATAACTCTACGCCTAGGCCATCATTGCACATTATATGCTACGACATGTGACTCAATAAACGGATCCTTTGTCTTCTCGAGAATCAGACTCTCTCGTCTCTCTGTAGTCGAACATAGACTGAGAATTAACGATACGGGGCACGAGCAAACAAAGTTGTCGACCACGACCCATACGTGTTATCTCGCTCAGGCTGACGAGACAATAATGGCCATGGGCAAGATACCATCCTCGTACACACTTCCCCACAAAACGGAAATCACCCGAGGAGTACACCATTGCCGCGGGCATATAAGCACAAGCACGAACGAAGGACCTCTTCACACAAGTTCTCCTAATCTTCCTCAACGTGCGGGAGGACTCTAAGTCATTACTCCTCCATCTAGAGGCAATGAATTAGGGGGTTGATGTTCTGGATTAGGCCCAAACAGACAAGACCATGTCGGGCACGACCCATCTGCCCACGCGCCAATAATAGCCCAATTGATGGCCCAATCCCTTGGGGTCCAATCTGGACATGTGCAGTCGACGTTCCCCTTATAACGCCTGTTAATTTAATTAATTATTTAATTAAATTATTTTTGGATTATTTGTTGAAGTTGTGAGATGTTGTAGATTGTTGGTATAAGTTGTTAGATTATTATTAATTAATTAATTAGTTGATTAATAATAATAATGTTGGAATTATTAGTATTAGTCGTTGGGCTTATTTTGGTGGTATATAGTCTTAAGCGGGTGTGAGAATTAGGCCCAATAGCAATACTAATATTATTGAGTTTAGTTATATTAATAGAAAAATAGGTTTTGTCAAGGAGGAGAAGAATAAGGGTTGGAAGAGAGAAAAAGAACGTAGAAGTTACAGAGAAAAGGAAAAGAGGCAAAGCGGGATTCGATCGAAAAATTGTAGAATAACCTTCAATCCAAGGTAAGGATGGGGTTCTGACTTTATAATTGGGTTTATGATGCATGTTACGTAGGAATTAGGTTGTGTAAAATTTGTCCTGTATGTGTAAACAATGTTGAATACCGTGTTGAATTATTATTGTGTTCTTGCTGTGAATCTGTATAAAGTTGGTTGTTTGTGAACACGGATATTGTTGCAATATTTTATTGTTGTTAATCGAAGATAAAGAAATGAGTATTTGGAACTGATTATAGAGAATTCTGCGTAAGAGGAAAAACTAGAAACTGGAAAACTATACGGTGCCGAGGGGCACACAAACTGTGTCGGATGGCACAGAAAGTAAAAGTGTGTTGAGGGGGACACCCCTGTTTATTTAATTGGTTATTTTAGTTAGTTACTATAAGCATGTGATATATATATATATATATATATATATATATATATATATATATATATATATATATATATATATATATATATATATATATATATATATATATATATATAAGGAAACCAATAATGAAACATAGGAAGTTGATTAATTAATTTAGTACAACCAGTACATGAATATATTTAACAGAAAGTGAAGAAGTTACATAACTTATATATTTAGCAGAATAGCAGAATATTCTTATATCAGTAAATTAATTAGCAGAGTAGTAAATTAGTAGAGTTGTTTTAGTAGCAGTATATAATAGAGTATTAATACATAGCAGAATTGGTTTATAACATAGATGGTTAGTATGAAAATCGTAGAGTTGATATTTAATAGAGCTAATTAGTTGGATACTTTAGCAGCAGTAACAGAGAATTAATCATAGCAGAATTAATTTAATGGAGTTGGCATATGTATATAACAGATTGAATAACAGTGTAGTATTAAGTTGTTAGAAAACTAATAAGGAATATTAGTATAAAGTGGAAATAATAGAACTTTTAGTCGATAAATAATTAGCAGGACTTAGTGGATTTGTCCGAACAACTATACAGAACAATTGTTGTATATTTTAGTTGATAGGATGTGTTGAATACTTTGCTGAAAAATATGAATTGCATGTGATATTGAACTGTTAGACTTATGGCCAATGTTGTTTTCCTATTGATGTTGTTGTTGGATTACTATTGTTGATATGTTATTGTTGTTGTGACGTACTAAGTTGTAGGCTTATGCCAACGTTGCGTTAATTGTTGTTGTTGAAATATCAAGTTGTAGGCCTATGGCCAGGGTTGAATTATTATTAAGTTGTAGGCTTATGCCAACATTGTTATGTTGTTGATGTTGCTACAATCATGTTGTGTCGCATACATCGCATATCAAGTTGGAGCTGATGCTCGTTAAGTTGTTATGGATCGGAAAAATATTAAGTTGAAGGCTTATGTCTTGTTGATGCCTCTATTTATTGGCAGATTATTAAGTTGAGAGTTTTGCTTCATTGGTACCACATGCATGTGCATAGTAACAAGTTGCATTTCACGTTGCATATTGAGTTGTTGTGTTGGTAAATTATTTATTATATTTCCTTGATGTTTTTGTTGTGATTGACATTGTTTAAAGTTGTGAAGTGGTGATTTGACATAGACTAATTCTAATGTAATATGATCATACATCTGATTATATTGTTCGATATCTCACCCCTTATGTTTGAATGTTACCCCGATGTTGGTAACATGCAGGTAATCCAGAGTGAATGCAGTTTACCTTTAGTAATTCGAGTCAGTGTCATTGCTCTGATACGTAACACTCGGGGTGGGGGGTGAACGCTTGTTGTTTTATTGTTATTAATTCAGTTGATTGAACTCTAAGTTGTTGTTCGTTAAATACTTCTTATTTGAAGTTGTTTCAGTTGGATAAAGATGTTATATTCTTTTAAGTTGAATATTTGATTCTGCTGCGAAGTTATGAAAGTTGTTGATTTAAAAAAAAAAAATTTATGTTGTTGTTGGTTCATCCAAGTTAATGTGTTAGGTATCTGTAATGAATGTCGTTGTTTTAAGTTAAAATTGTAGCATCCTGATTTAGTTGTTGAATTTTTATAACTCTGATTTTATAATAATTGCCAGGTAGAATTGGGGTGTTACACCCCTCATCTATGGACATGTCATCAGCTTGTTCCACACTCTTCGGAGTCATTACGCCCTTCGTAACTGACGTGGTCAGTCCACCATCCGAAGATCATAGAATAAGTTGATCCAGGATAAAGACCACATGTTGGTCTTCCCTACTCACGTAGGATCCTGACAGCCATCCATTGTGGGCCTAAAATCCAGTCCACAATGGAGGCCTTGGCCTAGAGCTGAGGACACTATAAATATCCTTTTTCACTAGAGGGTCATGTATTCTATTCTATTCACTCTTACCTTCTATACTTGCTCTCTTTTACTCTGAACCTCACTCTAAACTTTCTATATTTTATCTAAAGATGAATGGCAAGAAAATAGAGATGATAAAAATTGTATAGATGGAGATATCATACTTAATGTTGAAGATGTCACTAGTGGTGGCATTATTAGTGATGATTAGATGTCCCTCCTAGTCTTTTTAATGATGATTCGATGAAGAATTAAAAGAGAATGAATAATGAAATGGAGATGAAGTTGTATTTTGTTTATGAATTTAGGATTATTATTATGAATTTGTGAATTCATGGTAACTTATTTTATTTATATACTGTATTTTTAAACATATATATGTAATTATACATATATAAATATATCTTTTTACCAATAGATCTCAGATCCATGCTATGATCCACGGGTTTTGATTTTTCAATCCTCTACCGATTCTACGTAAATATGAGTTTTTAAACATTGCATACAAGCACACATCTCCGTTTTAAAAATACAACTTCGGTAAATGTAGAGTCGTCTCAAGTTTTTGGAGGTCTTGTGTATGCTAGTTACAATTTAACAAAGACAAAATAAATAGAGGTTTTATAAAATCACAATTTAATCTAAAAAATATTTTTATGAGGCTCCATTTAACCATAAGTTAATCTTGAAAATTTTGAGATCATATGTAGTAGGCTGCCTTACACGCCCTCAAAGACAGCTCTGATAGATGTGATCAGATTTTGAATATGAGATTTCTCACATTTCCATTTTTTGTTTAAACATCTAAAGAAAATTCACAACTAAAAATTTAAAAAATTAAGCATTAACATTGGAAGAAAACACAAGGCCAACAGGGAACAAAAACGATGCAATCAGTTTATGTTAAATACGTGTTTCTTACCATTTGTCCTACTTTAGACGAGAAACAGAGGAATAGAAGCAAATATTGTTAACCGTAGACATTATTATACAAGAGCTTACAAACATCAGTTTAGCAAATTTTAATACTAAACAGATTTTCTTATGTTCAACTGGAAATATAATTTCACTGCAAGCAATCACAATCACATAGCTCAATACAGCATTTAATTAACTCAAAACAAGCCAAGGCTGCACAAATTTGAGTGCAAACTATGGTGCAACTATCATTCACAAGAGAGCAAGTCCTTAGCAGACACATGCAACAACAAGTGTTAGCCACCTTACCGCAACAAGTAGAAGCTGCTTTCCCCAATAGTCCTTCAGATGGTTTTGCTTCTTTTGTTGCTGGTGGAAGGTTCTCAGCGGTTGCTTTCAAGTCACCAAATCCATGTCTCAGTCCTCCAAGGAATAGCTTTGGGATTTCAAGTTCCAAATCTTTGAAGCTAAGTCTGCTGTAAGCCTGTTTTGAAGGAATGCAGGTAAATCATATAGGACGAAACTATTGAATTAACTTTAAATGTTATCTTAAGTGAGTTTTAATTTAGAGTTAGTGGAAAGATAAAGAGTTCTTGTAGTGGAAAGGCCAAGAGGTTAGTGGTCTATTAAAAGAACTCAGTTGCATTTTAATTCCTAGAATATCTTGAGTCTATATAAAGACTTGATTGTATCTTTCATTTTCAAGAAGTAAGAACAGAAATATAATAAAGTACAGTTTCTGTCAACAGAAACACCAAAACTGATAACAGATACGAGATTAACACAAAAGCGACGGTATTTTTGCTAACACTAAGGTAAAATCTACCTTTTGTAACAGAAAATGATCAGGTGCCTTCTTGACATCACCTTTCTTCACAAGTATCATCTCCAGGAAGGTATACTCAGAGGGGACATTATTTTGAATGCTCATTTTAGTAACCTATCAGACAAAGTAAAATCAGAATGGCTTTGTTCAAAATCAATGCTTGAATATGAACTGTCTCCGCATACTTTCTATGTTCACATTCCTTAGTTTCCTTTTCTCTTTTGAAAAACAAATTCAACATGCAAAAAATCACAATATAGACAAACCTTCTCCTTCAGCTCTTCACTTTCTAATAACCAGGCACGAGCAGTGACTAGGTCTATATGTCTCTTTGAAAAGACCTGGAGTTAATACCAAAATTTATATCAAGATGCATTCAGCAATCACAAAAGTCAGTTTTAACCCAAATTAATCATTTAAAATCCACTTATTTAAAATCAGTTTTTGCTACCAAAGAACAAAACAGATACTAATAATATAAACTTTTGATTCTCAGCAAGATATGAGGAACAAGTAATAATTAAGCCATAGGGTTGAGATATTACATTAGTGAGAAGCATATCCTTTTCTCTTCTCACTTTAAGGTCAACTTCTAAGCTCGTCCTATCAGCCAAAGTACCAGTAACCTTAACTAGTTCAGGAAAAGCTCCATTGTATCTGCCTGATATGATCAATGGACTTCCAAATGATAGGTCAGGAATATGAGTTGGGATCAACTGCATTGACCAAACTATAGTTATAATATAACAACAAATAGATCTAACATGTAATTTGTAAATATACTTTACAACAAATAGATCTAACATGTAATTTGTAAATATACTCTTTTGACATAATGTAACGTGTAAGTATGATTCAATTATAATTGAAGACAAAACATTAATGGACATGTACCTCCTTTGACTCAAGGCCTTCTAAACTTTTGATGGTGATATCAGCAACTGTAACTGATGAAACAGTACTAAATAGCCTTTGCATTCTAGAGTCAATTGTATCTGGAGATGATTTAGAGAGGCAGAGTGATAGATTAATGAAACGTCTAGATATGATTTTGCAATTACTTGTGTTCTTATTGTGACTTCATGACAAATTACAAAACAATAAATCATTTTTGTTTAAGCATCAATGTTTCACCAACTTCAAATGGCAATGTAAATGTTAGATTAACTGGATAAGCAAAGATACTGACCTAAATCATAAGCTGCATCATAGTGACCCCTCCCAATTTCTGCTAGCATTTGCAGGAAGTAGTGGTTACAATATAAACCTGAAAATTTCAAATTACAAAACAGAAAAGCTACAGTAAGTGTTTCAACAAACAAATAAAGTAGAATCTATTTTTTGCCACTCTCATCTTGACAAATTAAGCATCATGTCAAAGCATTTGTTTCTCCAGTTTAAACATACCTAGATTCAGTTTCAAAATATTTCAGCTACTTAAAGCATTATCTAGAGTAAGCAAAACATTTATAAGAGGTTGGATTGTCAAATCAACACTGCTAATTAATGATATCAGAGAATCTATTTTATGATGACGCCAAAGAGAAGAGAAAGTTAGAACTCTTGCCTATGCCAAAAGTACATATACGTGGTGTGCGGATTGATGGCCCATTTGTTACATAGCTTTTCACAAATTCACATATCTCTCTCTCATCCTCAACAGCCCCATCAGTTACAAGAAAAATAAGAGGGACTGAATGGCTTGATTTCCGAAGTAGGTTCATCGCCTAAGATAAAGCAAAACAGAAAATCAGATTTCTGTGACAAATGTGTATATATCAAGGACTCAACATCCAACAGTTCAGCAAAGGATACAATTTACTAAACACTGCATAGGATTTGCAACAAAATAAAATCAAGTACTAAGATAACAAAAATAGTAGCCTTTACCTTTTCATCACCTCTTTTAAGATTTAACAATACTTTCATTTAAGCACTTGAATGAAGAAACCAAAATGGAAAGAGAAGCTTTAATTAACATTAACAAGCCATGAAGTAAGAAAAGAAGGCACGTCATATTGAAAATGTCAAAAATTAAGAATTACCTGAGTTAAGGGAAGCATGATGCTAGTACCACCATTTGCTATAAAAGTAGTGTCTACCCACTTGGAAGCCTTTGAAATTGCTTCCTTTGAAACTGTTACCATCGATGGCGAGAATAAATAGGCCTCCCCATTGAAAGCTATAATGTTAAATGTATCTTGCTGGTTTAATTTAAAGAGTGAAGCTAGTAGCGCGTTCTTTACGTTTTGGAGAGGAGTTCCTTTCATGCTTGCACTTATATCTACTACGAACACCATATCCTTTTTAAAAACCTATCAATGGACAGAATGCTCCAGTATAAAATTGCTTGAAAATTCAAGACAGCTTAACTTGATTGAAAGTTTGAGAAAAAAAACATGCACCAGTGCAAACTACTATATAACCATTTTACGCTACGCACTCACTAACTTAACTAGCTTTTCTATGTTACGAATCATGACAAAAATATAGTTTTGAAAAGAAAAAGAAATCGACATAGTATAATATTGAAACAAACCATTGTATCCTGAAAATTTCCAGGATAAAGATACAAGCAAAATATCTCTCTTTCATCAAAATCACGTAGGAAAGGCGATTGTAAGAGAACACCTCCAAATAAGTCACTCGAAGAAACCTGTAAAAGCACTAGCAAATTAAGCTAATTCTGATATAGCATCCTGAATGTCTATCGTTCAGAATCAGAATTTAGTTCTTTTATGGAATGCATTAAAACAATTCGCTTCTAGCTCTTACCTTGTACGAGAAACTGAAGTCTGTATTTGACCAAGTTGATACCTCTGCTTCATAAGATAAACTTAACTTTCCAGCTTGGCGCGTTAGTCCCTTGAAAACAATAAAGTTGGTTTCAGTTTAAGTCTAAACAGAAGCCAAATTGAACACTGTAACAGCACAATAGGCCATATAATTTACTTTAAGAGGATGACTAGTGGCTTTGCATAACACTTCATTGGCAGTGCCAGAATTCAATTTCAAAAATATCTTCTCTTTCTTAGATATTTTACTTCCAACTGGGTTGACATACGAAGGAAAACAGAAAGGGATGGTAAGACAGAACTCGCCATCATGAAATAATAATTTCTGAGACCATTTAATCTTAACTGAGAAGATGGAGCCTCCTCTAATCTGCAAAACAAAATGAAATTTTAAATATACATGTTAAATTAATAACTATAAACAATGAAATGAGATACACCTGTTTTGAGATATAATATTATTAACCTGTGGAATCTTGATAATGTATATTTGGCTTTTCAAATAGTATCCGTCTTTAGCTTTGGCCATTTTCTGCTTATCCTTTTCATCTTTATGAGAGATCAATTCAGTATGATAGGATTTTTCAGAATCATCAACTTCGACACCTAGAAGTGAACCCTGTTAGCCACATGATCATATTTAACTTGAGAAGTAGTCATATGAAACAAAATGCAAGTCTGCAACAGTTGAAGGAAAATTTTGTATGGTATGCAATTTCAACTATTATGTTATTGTTGTATGTTTTCCAAATTTCATCTTTAAGTTATGATTTAGGTATCAGTTGATAAACTTGCATATCATTTACTTTGTTTACTCCTATATAAAGATATCTTCTCTTAAATTCTCAACTAAAAATATATCATATGCAAAAAGCATTTGAGAGTCATCTTAAGTTTTTTAAGATTATGTAAATAAGTCTCGGTTCAACTATGACAAATTGTATATGTTCATTAAGCATGCCTAATAAGTTAAAAAAATATAATAATGACTAAAACTTGCTTTTATATTATGATCATGAATCATGATTACTTTCTTTCGCATTTGTATAACAGAATGATGGCAATTAGATATTTTCATTACAATTTTTATCTGTTATTTTTGTATAATTTTAATTATATATAGTTACATTACTGTAAATGCATTTAAATGAAGGTAAAAAATAATTTAAACCTCCTTTTCATTTACAAAATCCTCTAAAGAAGATATGATGATTATATTTATTTATTTTAAAATAACTCTAAAATTAAGAAAAAACACAATTTCACATATTTTCACATATTTTCACATTGATATTACAAGTTTAGAGTAGTGTTATTGATGGTGTGAATCCCCTGTTCAAATCCTACTAAACATAAATTACTTATTAAAAAGAAGAAAAAAAACTTTATTCGTTTATAGAGAATATAATACTTTCTAATTCTGAAAACGACAAAATTTTCCCCGACAAGTTATTCAACTGCTGTTACTTTCCAACAAAAAGCCAGATTAAGCTTTATTCAACGTCCAATCATTACTTTTACTAATTGAATAGTCGATTTTACCCCACTTAATAAAATAAAAAAACAAATGCAAACAGTTTTCCATATCAGGTTCGATGGATGGTTCGAATGCCAAAAGAAAACAAAAAAAATTATTTAATTTATTTTTAAAAATATATAAATTTTTTTTTCCTTATACTTTAATGGTAGGATATAATGATCACCACTAAAATAAAATTAATTGACTAGAGAGCTGACACAAGATTCACGCCAGTTTCTTTTTGGTCTTTTTTAAAAATATTTTTTTTTAATAAAATAATTTATGATTCGAATGTGAGACTATGAGAAAAACACAACTCAAAGTTTCAAAACATTTCTTTTTAAAATTAATTTTATTTTTTTATTAAACTAAAAGTAGAAACTATTTTCGATTTTACTGGAAAAAAACGAAGATTCCGTTAGTGGAGTATATGGTAATACTAGTTGTTATAATTATATCTTTTAAACTTATTGATGAGTTTAATAATTATCGATTGAATTTATTACTATGGATATATACGTTTTGTATAAATGCTTTATATAAATAGAAGATTTTGAGGGAAAACGTATGAATAAATTAAAAAAAATTAAAACTTAAGGAAAATATATTTACCTGTTCAGACATTGGAATAGCAACCTGACAATCACAAACACTACTTCCCCTAACGCAGTGCACGCGCCAACTTCCGGTAACCGTTACAAACGCCGTATCCAAAGAACACTCAACTTCCATGGCAACTCCGTGAAGAAGAAGCGGAATTAACGCCGGAGGATCACACCGTCCGTAAACATACGGTTGATAACTCCGAATGTCAGGATTATCTACTACATCAGGATCAGGTATCACCGCATAGCACATCGGCGCCGACGGTAGATAATCCTCCGGTGATCTTGTCATTTCCGGCACCGGTGCGGGAGCCGATCCTTTGAAGTGGTGAATTCTCTTGGAGAGGTTGAGTCCGAAGTCGACGGAACTGGAAAAGTGTCGCGCCATCGGTTGTCCCGGAGATGATTTTCCGGTGAGTAGAGTTAGGTTGTTTGTTACTTTGTTAGGGAGGTTTTTGAGGAGGAATGTGAAGGAGAGGGTTTTGAAGAAGAGAAATGGAAAGAGTAGAGGAAGAGTGAGAGAGAGGAAGAGGAAGGAAGAGGGAGAGGTTACTCAATTCGTAATCGTTTTCGTATTAACTACTCTCGGAACCTGATTGGATAGGATATGACAGGGAAATTAATTTTCTTATTTTTTATTTTATTAAATAATTAGAAGTGTGCAATAATTAGTGCTATTTCTTTTGCTATCGCATGTTGGAACATATGTGGGAGTAATATTTATGTGACACGTTATATTTATTGTGGTTTGGTAAAATAAATAATTTATGTACTTTATCTAAATAATATTACTAATATTTTAAAAATTAAACCAATCATCAAAATAATAAAGGTATTGAACTATTGTCTATTAGTGAGTTATTAGCTCATTGATCAACCCAAATAATTAAATCAGATAATTACGATAAATAAATTAGTTTTTATAACAAAATTATATATTTATCAAATCAATCAAACTACTATAAAAAAAATATTATGATATTTATAAAATTTTAAAATTTTAAAATATTATAATTTTATATATTTATTTATTAAATTTAAATTTTAAATATAATCACACATGATAAAATAATATAAAATATAAATTTAAATAAATTTTGAATTAGATATAATGGGAAACTGATCTGAACTGAGTCTATATTTCTCCTATGAGCGAGAAGCCCAAAGACAACCCAAGTTAGGGACTGTGGGGCAACTCTCCATCCAACCGTTAGAGGACGTGGCCCACGACCTCTTGACAGGCATCCCAAACTGCCCTCTGGGAATCTCGGGTCCAGCCCTATTCTCGCGGAGCAGTTGACCAGGGGGAAGTTCACTTGCTGGACTCCATACACACGTAAACCCTGATAGTTCTCGTTATTGGACCTCCGCGTGGTCCAATAGTGGGGACTTTGGCCCAGCGTTGGGGGCTATAAATACCCTCTCTCACAAGAGGGTCAGGTATTCATTCACACATCTCAAACTCATACTTGATTGCTCATTTCGCTTCTCACTTTACCATCGGAGTGTCTTGTAGGTACCCCCCCATCTCATTCAAGTTCAGCCTGAAGTCAGTTATGACGGTCCCGATCCGGTAAGATTAGTGGCGCCGTCTGTGGGAAACTAAGCTTCCTCGTCTTCTATTCACTTGAGACCAAAGCTAAACAATCATCGACTGTCATGGCTGACCAGACTCCAGACAGCCTGAACGCCTGTGTCATCGATGTTAACAACAACATCACCGACAATAATGTCAGCCTCGACAACGCCGATAATGTCGGCCATAACACAGTCTCCGGCGTCAACATGCCCAGACCTTCTAACTATAGGGACTGAGCCACCGCTTCATCTTCATCCATGCCGCCTCGACTTGAAGAAGATCGACCACTTCCCCTGAACTATCGACCCGTCCAATTTCACGAGGTCCCCGTCCCCGTCGGGGCAGACGCCATGACCAGGGCACTATTTGCGACAACGAATCAAACCAACTATCTAATCTTCGCCCAGGGGGAAAGATTGAGGGCGCTCGAGGACGATCCAAGGCCCCCGAGAAGACACAAGAGACCTCAATCTCCTCCCCCTCGACAAGCAGATGAACATCCCCAATCTTCCCCGCGGAGACAGAATCGGGTCATCTCTCGAATCCCGTCGTCCCGACCACTCGGGCGACGACCCCCTTTGGAGAGGGAACAACTTGTCGACGCAGGAAGGCACGACCATGGCCCCTCACGGCAAGAACGAAGACCCCCCAGAGACAAGCACGGGGGAAACTATCAACGATCATACCGCCCAAGGAACGCTCCGCGCGACCAGGGCCACCGTGACCGCCACTACATCGGATCTCTGTCTCGCTCTCCCGAACGGAGTGACGAGGACGACCCCCGCGATCCCTTGTCACAAGCTATCATGGAGGCGCCCATTCCCCCGGGCATGGAGAAGCCTCCCCATTTAAAGGAGTATGACGACATCGCCGACTTGGTCGACCATATAGACGAGTTTGAAGCCATGTTGCACTACCACAGCGTCGGGGGGACCAATCAAGTGCAGGTTGTTCCCCACGACTCTGAGGAAAGCGGTTATGGACTGGTACAAAGGTCTTGCCCCGGGGTCAATTACCTCTTGGTGAAACCTGAAGAACCAGTTCATTAGCTCGTTCACTGCTTCGCGACGACACCCGAAGACCAAAGCAGCGCTTGAGGCCATCGTCCAGAGACACGATGAGACCTTGAGAGAATTTATTGACCCCTGCATGGACCATGTGAAGAGGTACCTGCTCGAGAGGGGTCTCCTCCCGGGCACCGAATTCAGAAAATTCGTAGGCATCGAACCACCCCGGACGTTTGATGCCCTCCTCGAGAAGGCCAGGGCCTATATGGATTACGAGGAGAGAGAAGCGGCCAACAGAGCCCGAGATCCCAGGAACCATGGATCCAGCAGTAATCAGCGACAAGACATCGCCCCTCCTCGACGAACTGGAGAGAAGAGAAGGGACGATAAAACTCGAGACGCCCAGGAACAAAGGGGGCCCTCGGGGAGGTTCACTGAATACACTCCTCTAACGGCTTCCCGCGAGCGCATCTTAGCGGAGTGCACAAGTACAAACTTCAAGGACTGCAGTGTCAAGCGTCCCCGCCCCGCTCCTGCCAAACCTGGGATAGACCGAAGCAAAGCCAGTACCACCAGAGCTACGGGCACTTGACCGAAGACTACGTCCACCTCAAGGACGCCATCAAGACCCTCATAAAAGGGAGAAGACTTGCACAATATCGGCGAAACGTTGCTCCTCGCCGGGATGCACGTGAGACGAGGGAAGTATAAGAGGATGCCCGACCATCTGACGAGTCGGTTCCCATCCAAACCACAGTCTCCATCACAAGACCTAAGGACTTCTACATCCCCGAACATCTGCAAGAGCCTCTGTCTATGCATAACAGGTGGGAAAACTTCCCCTCCACCATGGTCATCAATGGTGGAGAGTTTAATGATTTGACCATAAACTCAGCTAAGAGAAAGCTGGATGAGCTGGTCGACGCGGCTCCCCCGTAAACGGTGACCTTCGAAAGGGTGAAAGATAGATCAGAGTCGATCACCTTTTACCTCGAGGAGCTCCCTGGAGGGGCCCCCAATTAGGCCATCCGTCTACTGATAAGGGCGAGAATGTCCAACTTCGACGTACATTGCGTCCTCGTCGACGAGGGAAGTTCCGTCGACGTGATGTACAACCAGCTGTTCAGAACCCTGCAGCTCGATGACTCTCACCTTTCATCATACGTGGGGTCAGACCTATAGGGATTTAACGGCTTGACGTCCAAACAGTGGGGGTACGTCGAGCTTATGGTCACGTTCGGCGAGGATACCTCTACCAGGAAGCTCAAGGTGCGCTTCCTCGTCATCGACTGCTCGTCCCTCTACAACTGCATTCTCAGAAGGCCGACACTGGCAGAGCTGATCGCGGTGCCCTCCACCGTCCACTTAAAGATGAAGTTCTACACCAAGAGGGCCCGGGTCGCCACTATTCAAAGAGATCTGGCAGCTGCCTGAAGGTGCTTCAACGCAGCGTCCAAGGGACATAACACAGTCGACACCAGCATACGGCCTGCCAAGAAAGCTATAATTACGCGATCAGAGCCTCAACGGTCAGAGCCCGTCAAAGTAGAAGAGCAGAGGGCCCCTCCAAAGGTCGATTCGATCTCTCTGGACACTCACTTCGACCAGGAAGAGCCCCCCAGCGGTGAGCAGGTTCCCCTCTGACCAATTCTGGATGGGAACTTCGAGCTCGTCCCCCTTAGTGAAGACCCAAATAGAGGAGTGAAGATTGGCACCAGACTCCCCGACTTGGCGAGAAAGCAGATAAAGGCTTGCTTGAGGGAAAATGTGGATCTGTTCGCATGGAGTGCTGCGGAGATGCCCGGTCTCGACCCTGAGGTTGCCTATCATCAACTCGCCATTGATCTAGCCGCTAGGGCAGTAGTACAACATAGACGTAGGCAGTCTCTGGAGAAAGCGGAGGCTGCTGAAAAAGCTGTAAAAGACCTCCTAGAGGCAAATTTTATTTCTGAAGCCCGGTATTCAACCTGGCTGTCAAATGTTGTACTTGTTAAGAAAAATAATGGAAAATGGAGAATGTATATTGACTACACCGATCTTAACCGGGCATGCCCCAAAGATGCGTCCCCTTTACCTAATATTGATATGTTGGTCGACAAATCAACCGGTTATAAAATTCTATCAATTATGGATGCCTATTCGGGCTATAACCAAATCCTGATGGCAATAGGCGATAAACACTGCACCACTTTCATGACTAGCTCGGGCAACTATTACTACAACGTAATGCCATTCAGTCTGAAAAACGCAAGAGCAACATATCAGCGGATGATGAACAAAGTCTTCCGTAACCAAATCGGGGATATGCTCGAGGTATACATGGACGACATGATCGTCAAGTCCCGCGTAGACACCGACCATGCTGCTCATCTCAGGGAAGTCTTTGCCCAAGCAAGGCAATGCAAAATGAGGTTTAACCCCGAGAAGTGCACGTTCGAGGTCAAGGCGGGCAAGTTTCTAGGATTATATTTAACAGAACAAGAAATCGAAGCCAACCCCAACAAGTGTCGAGCTTTCTCTGACCTCCGCACACCTACGTCGAAAAAATCCATACAAGTCTTGAATGGCATGCTAACCTCACTATCCCGTTTCGTTGCAAAATCCGCTCAACACGCCCTCCCTTTCTTCAAGCTCCTTCGCAAGGAAGCGGCTTTCGAATGGACCGAGGAATGCGAGCAGGCCCTGCTCCATCTCAAAAAAAATCCTCTCACAGTCGCCCATGTTATCGCGACCAGTCGACAGGGAAACCTTGTTTCTATACCTAGCCGTCTCGGTCGAAGCTGTCAGCGCGGCCCTCATTCG